CTTTTAAGGCCATGGATAATACCGCACCAGTTCCTAGCTCACCACATTCCAAAAGACAACCTCCTACATTCACTCTTTACGTTCATTAGGCAGTGCTCCTCTCTTACTAACCGTAACCACCAACACACCCACCAGGGCTTACCCTGTGCCAGGCACTCGTTTACTTCTCACAACAAGTCTGGTCCCTTTCCCTCCCCAGTAGATGAGCCCTGAGGAAAGAGGTGGTGTGATTTGTGCCTGGTCACACAGCAAGAAAGTGAAGCTGGGATTTGAATGAAGAGTGGTCTGGTTCAGAACTTGCCATTTTAACCACATTATAATGACGCTATCTCTCATACTTGTACCAGTGTGTCCTTCGTGCTCATACTGTTGGCCACTGGAATATTCTCCTCTCCTCTGCAGATCCAAATAGGCTGTTTTCCCAGGTCCAGATCAAATCTTTTCTTCTCCCTAATTAAATTTTCTGTGACTAGCCCAGTTCACAGTGATCTTTTTAGAGGTGACCACTAAAGTTCTGCTGAAATAGCTACTTCAGAATGATTATCAAAATCCCATGAACCCTCCCCTTGCCCCCACCACTGAAGGGCTTCTACACATCAAATTTGATTCAAACCTGCGCTTTCTGAATTGGTCATTTATTGGGGGTGGGAGCAGGTGCATTTTGATATTACTACATTAAAATATCTATGTCAATTTTTCAGTTACTTTTTGGTGACCACTAGATGTATCTAACTAAAGACATTCCTAACTCTCAACTTTATAAAACATAATAGAATGGTTCCTACTCCTCTCTCACCCCTTTTTTATTTCCCCAGAAAAGCTTGGGAGTTTTTGGAGGTTGTCATGTTGGAAACATGGGTACTGAGTAAACAAAGAATAGAGGACATTCAAGAAACACTCTAACACTTTGAGACAGGGAATATAGCAACAACTTCATGATTATGACCAAGCAAATTAGGTTTTATCCACACATCAGAGACATCTAGTCTAGTGTACCTTATTTGTGCTATAAATAATAGCTCTTTCCAAGTACCTTTCACCAAGAAACTAGAAGAGCTTCCTAGGGTGCCTGCTGGAAGGTACTCAGTGGTCATCTGAGAGTCAGAGGCTACATTATTCATATTGGAGAAGATTCTACTTAAAGTGAGAAGTAAAAGAATACTCAGTCAACTAATTGGAAGCATAAAGGTGACAGAGTGACTGCCTGGGGATGAGACTTACACACATGCATGCACACACACACACACACACACACACACACACACACACACACCCTTCTATGTACTCTGTCAAAACCATGAGACAAACTTATGAACAATGTACCGTGCCAGATCTTGGTCTTTATAGTCACATAATCTAGTGACCGGTAAGCATGATCAAAAATTAGATTGCTGCAGTTTTTGAAGTATCCCAGCATCATCCTGCACTTGTGCTTTAGGAAAGGTCACATTTGAAAACGTTTAAGTCTGACTCCGCAATTGTGCAGTAGAAATTACTCTACATTCAAGAGAGAAGGCCAAGAAAACGGAAAGCAATAAATCATTAGGTTAATTTCATCTATTTCTAAATTCAATGGCTTCTATCTCATTTGTACAGAGCGATTTGATAGATAGGGACCTGCCATCTTTCACTAAGGAAAAGACACATTTATTTACTGGTCATCCATGTGAGGGAAAGCAAGTGGATAAAGTTGACAGTCAAATTTCTTGGCTGAGTGGGCTGCTGTCAGAGCCAATTCCTCTGAGTGTCTGTAAAACACCTTTTAGACAGCACCACAGTTCAGTGGTCAAATGCAGATTTATCATATGTTCCTCCATTCCAATTCTGTGATTTCTTAAACAAACAAAAGCAGGGCTCTAGGGAAAGCTGTAATTTTGTTACAAACATAAGAATTATTCTTATCTTCATACTATTTACCCAAAAACCTATTTTAATTCACATGTAATAATTCAATACAGATATCATTCATGTTGTGTGCTCATATGTAAATATAATAGGCATATACACATACGAATTCCATAACGATTGTGATGGTATTTTCTCAGAATTAAGCAATATGTTTAAAATGGGTTACGTAATTAGTCATACAAACATAAAGCCAAAATTATGAGTTATCTAAATCCAATTTTGACTTTTAATACCACCAAGAGAATTTGTCTTAGTCCTAATAAGCAATCTAAATTGGTCTCTGCCTTTTGCAATTTTCTTCAGAAATTTGAAAAGTACAAGGAGAAAATCCTTTTTACATGTTTTAACACTTGTATTCTTCTCTTCTAGAATTCTTCTGGTATGAACTTGAACTTGTGTCATATCATACTTCATATCCCCATTGCTTAGCCCAATAACTGGCATATAGCAGAAATTTAAAAATTTGCTGAATTAGGGGTCAGCCCATGGCTCACTTGGGAGAGTGAGGTGCTGATAACACCAAGGCCATGAGTTCAGATCCCTATATAGGGATGGCCGGTTAGCTCACTTGGGAGGGTGTGGTGCAGACAACACCAAGTCAAGGGTTAAGATCCCCTTACCAGTCATCTTTAAAAAAAATTTTTTTTTTAAAGTTTGCTGAATTAATGAACAACTGATTTTTCTTAAAGAAAAAAAAAGATTCCTTATATTAAAATAAGAATACAATTTAAGGCAAAAACATAAATTGTCTACTATTTGAAATACTGCTTCAGAAAATGCAGCATTTTTAATGCTTTTTTAGCACTCATGTGTTCAGTAAGCTATTATTGAGTCCTTACCATATTCTATGGCATATATCCTGCTGGGATTCAAAAATTAAAAAGGCACAGATAATGGAAACAAAGTATAAAATTGTTGTGTCACAAGAAAAGAATAAACAAATAGAGCTGCTATAGAAAAATTTTAAATAAAAATAATAAACAAAGTATTATGGGTCTTTACAACTCTTCATTGGTGAAATAATTACATGCAAAATTTCCCTCACTTATATCCCCTTATATAAATAATTGTTTAGTATTTCTCTTTGGCTTTCAATTTTCCAGTTCTAATTTGCCTAAACCTAAACTTCTGTGGTTGGTGGATTATGCAAACAATGGTAACCCCAAATCACCCAGGTATAGTATGTTAAAGGACTCACACTGAGATGAAACAACCCTTCTGAACAGGTAACAAAATTTTTAGCATTCATGTAATCCTCCCAGCAAATAAAGAAGAAATACTAAGAGAGTTAGTTAATCTTTGAAGACCATTTAAGGATCTTGGAACAGTTTTTAATCATAGAAGAGGGTTGCCTAAGAAAATGCAGAAATGTTTAGCACTTCGGATCTGATATAGTCCTTCATGGGTTTCCTGGGAATATTTTACTCTACTGAATGTATTCGCTTGTACTTTAAAATTGTAAATTACGTGAAAGTAAACACATTTATATTAGGAGAGCAGTAACACATTCCAGGACATATATTTATAGTCCCTAGAGTCACCAGCTCTGAATCATATACTACCATGAACCTCCAGAAACAAACCAGTAACCTATTAATGTGAGACCCATAATACTGCTGTGACACATGACTGCCATATTTATACAGGTGTGCAGGGTGGCCTTGTTTTCAAAGTAAGTGTAAAACAGGAGGAATCAAGACTACCCCCTGAACTTTGAAAAAAAAATACATACATATACATATAAATATATTAGTGAAGAAAAAAATTTATGTAAAATTCCTTTTATGATTAAATGTTTTCTCCAAGGCTGCCAAACACATGGATATGAAATTAAGGACAGCTTTACTATTAATATTTTAATTATGAATTTGTATTCTAAATTACATTTGGTGTTACTCAAAGCACTATAATTGGGAACTTAAATTATCTTTCTGTCTTAAAAGTTGTTCAGTTCAGGATCTGGGAGTGCTGTCCTTCCTAACATTTTTCTTGGTAATATCTAAATATTTTATAAAACAACAGCCAGGCAATGTGTAACTCCTTATGGTTTTCATTCTTAGGAACTAACTATGGAGTAAATTTTGTTAAAGAGTATTGTTATAGATTGTATTTTCTGTTGTGACTGCCACCCAAGTGTGTGGAAAAAAATAAATGCACATTGCTCTGGCTTTGCAGGTCTACAGTGTACATTCCTGCAGGGAGCACCTCATGAAAATTCATCCTCGGACTGCCCCAAGGCTACTGTACACATTTCACAATTCGCATAACAGCCATTTTAGACAGCCCACTGGAAGATTAGTTTCAAGGGACCAAAGTACAACTCTCATTACCATCACTTTCTCTCCAAAATCAACATCTCAAACCAGAAAAGTAAAGATGAAAAAAGCAAATCCATAAATAATTTGCCAGTCATACCTCTTCCCCAAATAGTTAAAAGTCTGTCATAAGGGATGTTTAAATTAAAACAACCTAGATGGAAACAGATGGTGCTTTGTCACTTTTCCTCTCTGATTTAAAGGCTCAGCTGGGGAAGGACCTGTCATTTGAGAGTCCTCTTATTCTGTAATATAAACAGCAGATAGATATTCCTCCCTCCCTCCTTTCCTTCTTTTCTTTTCTCTGTCACTCTCTCCTCCTTTCTTCCCTCCGTCCCTCCTTCCCTCCCTCTCCATCTACCTGTCTGACAGGAAGAATCTTACATTCCCCAATGTTGATTCTAAATGCAGTCGATTTACAGGATGAACCAGCAGGTAAATAAACAGTCTGTTGAGAGGAGCAGAATTAAGCTTCCAGCCACAGACAGAAAGCCAATACTATACAAATGGGACCACATGGTATTGGCAGCCACTGACATCTGTATGCAGCTCCTTAACTAATATAACCCATGAATCTCTCTGGATACAGTTTGTAATCTTGTCTCTCAGTGGCTCTCTCTAGTTTGTTTCCGCATTAGGCATGATAAATGCATTTTAGAAACTGACAGTAAAAGATTAATACGCTCATAACCATCAAATAGAACCTTTCACTGATTTCAAATAGCTGCCTCCCTTCAACTGCTCCCTCCCTCACCCCACCATCCAATTAATACTTACTCACAAAGGCTTCCTCATCCATCGGCAAACGCACTGACATGCAGAAGTATGTATCAGACTATTAAAAAAAGAAGATACAAAATCCAAATTAAACTGCTGCTAGTAAGGAAGAAATAATAACCATTAAAAGCAAGGCCTCTATGACTGAAAAAGTACTGGCTCTGTGAGGTGAGGTTGCCTGCTGAGAGGGTTTGGGTGGCAGGTCAGTGGAGGGGCTAAGTCTAGAACTTAGATACCCTCAACATTTTTCTAAGATTCTTTCCAGAACAACTTTAGATCCTGTTTATAAAACCAAGTATTGGGAATAACATTTCTAGTATTGTCACAGTTAAAAGGTAACATTTTAGATGCTTGCATAAATAGAATGAAACAATTTAATATATTTGATTTTAAAATGATAGGAGTTAGGTTTGCCTATCTTTGCTATTTGCAAAATTAAAAATTTAATTTCCTGAATCACTTTACAAACACCCCAAATATTAATTAGAGAAGTGCAATGAATAAAAGTTGGTCTTAGAATATAGTATGATATTTGGTTGTTCTCCCTTCCTTTAACATTTTTATGTAGCACATTGAAAAAATCAACTGAAACTATTCTTTCTTTTCTAGTTATTGGCCTCTTAACTAACTGGTCATTTTTTTCTACTCTCAAATATATTAACATCAAGAAGTGATAGTGATAAAAATTGTAATTTAAGAAGAATGGACTTCCGTTGATCTATGCACTCCAGTTCCTTAATAGAAATCCATATGCAGTGAAGTATGTCCTATGGTTGATAATGCACTCAATGCAAATATAGGCTATAATCATTTAATAATTCATACATTATGGATTATTACTCCACAGTGCTGGTGTCAACAAACTCCACAAACATGCACAGAGATAATTTGGATTTCTCTAAACCTACTGGTTAGCACCTAAAAATTATGAATATTTTACCTAATTTTTACTTCTGTGTTGGAAAGCAAATTATCCTAAAATTTGACTTGCTTATAAGCTACCTGAAGTTGTTTTTGGAATATGCAAGTTATAGGGATAAATAGGTATATCACATTCAATAAGTTGGTTCTCAGGATTAAAAAAAATAAAACTAAGCACAACAATGGTTACATATAATACACAGAACAAAGTAAACTGCTATGTATACTCAGAATTTATCAGATCCATGTAATTCTATAATTCTAGCTCTTATCATCAGCTGCCAATTTTAAATGATAGAATAATTTGGAAATGTCTGTCTTCTATCAATTTATATTTCTTAGCGTATAAGTTCTCTAAAAATAAGAATGTGTTCAGATTCCAACTGTTTCTTTTCTGAGCTATTAAAGCCCCTACTAGGGGAAAAAAGAGAGAGAAACAGATGAAGGAAGCCCTCTACAGAATACCAGCATCCTCCACAATTATTTTGGAAGAACAAAGTCTATATTACAGTTTGAATCAATGGCCCACCACGTACCATCATACCCTGATTTAGGATTTTACTTATGCCCCATTTTTCAAGATAAAAGATAATTTTGTTAAAAGAAGATAAAACTTTTTTCTAAAAAGAGCACATTTAAAAATACACTGAATATCAAATCAATAATAAGACTTTAGCTGAAAGATCTGAAGACCACAGTTCAATAGAACGGGGAATAACAAAAGGTAATTTATTCTCTTTGCTGCAATTGTAAAAGGCATTGGTGATTTTGTTCTGGAGTATTTTGGTGCCATGGCTAGGTTTCTAGAATTAAGTTGTGTGCTCAAGATCTACGTAAAGAAGATACACCTCCACGGGTGACCACCTGGAAAAGACAAATTTTTTTTTTCCTTTTTGTCTTTTTTTTCGTGTCCGGCAACGGACCGCAACCCTCAGTGTCGCGCCCGTACCGGACCGGGACCAGCAACGGGATCGAAACCCTCGGTGCTGCGTCCGCCCCTCACTCAGCCAGTGAGCGGGAACCGGTCTGTATGTGGGATCCGAACCCTCGGTGGGAGCGCCGCCGCGCTGCCAAGCGGCGCACTGTAGCAGTGCGCCACCGGGCCGGCCCGG